GAGATGTATTTCTAAAATAAAACCAAAATCAATACAGACAAACCTAAAAGAAATGTAATTTATTGTTGTACAGAAAAATAAATCATAATAAATGTAGGTTATGCATTTATTACATTGAGATTTAGCGAATCAAACTGGGATACACTGGGATAACTGCTAAATGATTTATCACATTGAGATATCGTCTTTCAAACTAGAATAATTGCAAAAATACAAAAATTGAACACTGTCGAAAAGTAAACAAATCGGCATTGTGAAAAGTAAACAAATCAGCGATTTTAAATCAGCTCGTTTTGGTCCCAAGACTGGATCCAGATGATGCGACCAGGCCGAGTCGAGCCGAGTCCGTTTCGCCACCTCCCGCAGCAACCACATGTTTCGGAACTATGAACTATCGGTCGCGCGAGGGGGGAAAGCCGCGGCCTTCTCCCTCCGCCTCCTCGGCGCGTTCGCCGATGCCTGTTCTCGTCGCGACTGCAGACTTGTCTTGTCCGTTTTCCTAGAGACTAGTCCCGGGGGGAAAAAGAACGGAATTGGTTGACGGCCAGGAGGAAACGAACCAAGAAGAAGCAGTAGTAGATGCGGGAAGGACGCAAGAGAGAGACGCGTGCGGTGGTCGGTGATACGTGCCCGTGGTCGCAGCAGTAGTATTTGTTAGTTGGTCATCGTCTCTCGGTTTAAGGACAAGGTTGGCAACACAACAGTACGTGTACGTCTTTCTTCTGCAAAAAAAAAAACGGACGGAATATGTGAGACACGAGTCCTGGTGTTGTGCGCGAATTTCGAAAATTCTCTTCGGATGAGAATGCGCGCGCTCGCGCCTACAATTTTCCGGAAAATGTGCGTCCCGGAAAACGTGCTTTCCGACAACGGAGACCTGTTGTGCATCATCATCATCATCGCCAGCTGAAAACCACACACATCCCACTTGCACTGTAAACTTATGGATTTACATCAAACAACGACTACTCCTCACTTCAATCACATAATTTAACATTCGCCCGACGACGACGGCTGTGTAAGTCTATTTTTAGCTTCTGTTTTCGTTACATGAATTTATGCTAATTGCAGCGCAATGCGTGTACACACACACACACGAAACCTTATCATCGCCTGTTCACCGCATTCCTCCTTCTTGCTATCATTCAGTCTCAAATGCGAAAGACATTCCATTCCATTTGCCGGATCGTCGATCTGATGCGAACTAATAAATCGAATGATTCCCGAATACCGGAAGTGGGTTTCGCGTTGGAAACCAACGAATCCGAAGGCCGAGTCCGAGCTCCAAAGTTCAATGTAATCCCCCTTGTTGTTTTTTTTTTCGTTGTTGCTTTCTTCCGTTCAAATGGAAAAACGTGCACGCACGGTCTCTTCTCCTCTCCGCTCATTCCTTCTCTCTTTCTCAGCCGTGCGGTGCGGAATTCTCCTAAGCCACAGGTGGTTCCTCCCCGACACTCGTGTGACATTGACAGATAACTGACGCGCGTTTGACACTCTGGTGTCAAATAGTGCAAAGTGCGTTCGCAGCACTTGCAACTGCCAACACCCGAACGAAACACGCTGACACTTTCATCGCGTTATATTTAACAAAATGCACGCGGTGAAAAATACTCGATTATGATTACGTGTTCACATTATTGTATTAGACTCTTGCTAGACAAGTTTCCAACTTAATTAATCAACTTTTCTTTCAACCTTTTGGTATGTTCGAACGTGGTTTGAACCATTTCAATTAATGGACGTCCCTTCCTGTCCCGTCGTTTGTTTCTCTCGCGCGCGTTACATTTTTGTTTTTCATAGTTTGTCATAGACAATTTGAATATTGAAATCGAGTAAGCGAATGTAGTAATTAAATTGAACCCACTCCGCCTTTTTTTGTTTCGACCACAAAACCCATCTATCGTTTCGTTTCGAAAACTCGAGATCAATTACCATCTAATATTTTGTTTAAAAACGTAGAAACTTGTCGTTACTTGTTGCGTAATCGATTTTCGGAGTTTGCTTTATCCGACAAATGGTTTAATCTGAAAGCGAGCGATTCGAACTGCGAGATTAACCAAAGTCATTTATAGAGAGAGAGTGTGTGCACTTGTTATCAAATATAACGTTGGGATGGTAGAAGAAGAACCGGTTGAGTTCGTGAGGCCGAAGAGGTAGTAGAGGCGCCTCCGAAACCGTCGCGGTTGGAGCGAGAAGAACGAACGGTCGATGAATAGAGAAACGTGAATTTTGCCCCTCGCTACACGATTCAATATTATGTTATGTTAACTATACATTCATTAATTTAATGATTTTTAAAGAAAAGTTAAATTAAGAAAATTACAATATTACACATTTTCGAATTAAAGATAACATTTGTTGAATGATTTCTTGATTTGCGTCATTTCTTTTTGATTGTAAAAAAAAACGATCTAAAATAGTGTCGAAACGAAGGCATTTTTAACGATCCGTTAGCGCGCATATCATCTCCGGCATTTCGAATCTCTCTTTGAACGCGGCTCAAAGTTTCTCTTCTTACAGTATATAAAAAAAAAAGAAAGATATAAAATGAGTAACGAAGAGGCGGAGGACGTTTCTAATTAGACCAGAATCTGGTATAAATTATAACCACATCCATCCGGTTACCATGGCTGCAGCAATCAACAACAACAAGCTCCGTCAGTCGTCAACGCTGCGAGAGGAGCAGCGAACCAAACAAATGCAAATCTGACGTTCCCCGTCTTTTGTTGCATCGCGTAACAACCGATTTGACACCTGTCAAATTGACATAAGACTCGCGTTGCAGTTGGTTTGACATTTGTAAGATGCGATTGGCATTTTCAATTGAAATGTTAATGCATTAATTAATGGCATTTGATTTATGCGCTGCGGTTTTTTTTGCGCTCGCTCCTGCTATCTCCTCTCTGTTTCTCTTTTTGAATTAATAAACACTTTTTCCTCTCTCTCGGCGGGAATTTTAATGAGTTCTCTTCGGGAGATCGCGCGCGCGTTTTTACTGCAACATTGCAACAGATAAAAATTGGAAGAAGAAATAAACACGGATGGTTTTCGGAATGGGAAAAGTCGGATTGGTTCTCATTTATTATATATGAAGGGAACGTTCGTATGCGAAATATGTGTGTAGTTTAGAGAGAAAGATCAAATAAATACAAAAGAAGAGAAAAATAATGAAAAGCCTCCGGAATGGCGATTGCGACGACGGCTGCGAGGAGGAGAGAAAAACCTCTAAGCAATTTACATGATACGGGCGCCAGCCAAGGTTAATATCATTACGGCTCTTCGACGGTCAGAGCGAGAGGAGAGGTGGACGTTGTAATTCATTTCAATTCGCGTCGAACTGCTGCTGCTATTCCGATACCAAATTCGTTTCCAAATTGTCAAATGTTTACTCCTAGTTTGACAGCTGTCAACAAAGAATTGTCATCTATGACAGTACAATATCAGTATCATAAAATGACGTACCTGTCAGAATCAATTATTGTTTTTGATTAATGACGTATTTTGAATTAAACTTATTATTACATTATTAATTTCATTTTGAAACTTTTTACATTTCACATTCGGTTACGTGGCGTATTGTGCCCTTGGGAGCACGTAATTTAAGAAGGGATTTGATGTAACGCTCCGTTTACACACACACACAGTTTTGTTGTATTCGGTGCGGACATATGAAGCAACAACAAACAACAACAACTTCTTATTCAATTTTAATTGCTTCGCTTTTATTTTATGTAATAAACGTATTATCTAATCAAGAGCAGCGTCGTAATCCCTGTGGAAAACTGACTTTTCGCGTCGACAAATATTTGACTTTCAAAATAAAAATTTCAGAAAAAAGAAAGAGTAACGAAACGGAAAGCGTAAGAGACGCCCGTAGTTGTTGTTATCTAATCGGAGAGCAAACATAACGACACACAAATTCGGGTACCAAAAAAAAAAGGGTGAGAAAAGAGGCGGCTCAAAAAAAAAAGTAAAAGAAAAACATCCTTCGCGAGTTTCTGCCGAATTGAATTTATGTAGGACAGAGGAATAATAACGTTTTTTTTTTAATGACTGCCATAATAATGCAATCTCAAGAACGCAATCCGCATTTTTATGTGCATATTCCCCATTTCGTCTACTCGATTCGCGCTCCATTCGCATCCGACGTCTCGATCGATCAGATCCCAAACGACAGCAACAACAAACAAACAATTCTTATTTTGACGAGATCTTTGAATTTACATTTGTGCTGTGATCATCATCATTCTCGCTCGCATTCCTCAAATTAAAAAGGTAAGGGAAAGTGTTTTCTTCGCGCATTTCTGAATTAGGCGCGGAAGAGGTTCAGGTGATAAAGAGAGGTATGCAAAGAGTTTTATTAGTCTTCGCATGTATTTCTCTTTCTCTCTGTGTGTGTCTTCTATTACCATATTCACGATTTATTTATTAAGCTCCACGCATCATCGAAGGAGGCGTTGCACTTCCATCTTTCGTAATCTCAGTCTGCGCTCATATGCAACCAACTCATCAGCTCTTCATTCGACGTTATCGTTGACAGACCTGTCATTTGACAAATAACCGCACTCGATTATTACGCTTAGTGACAGCTGTCAGGTTACGACCAGTTTACACCTAATAATTATCTCAACGTTATCTATCGCAATATGCAAATTAACTAATCTGAAATAAATTAGATTCGATTACGTCCATTATTTTGAAACAGCATTATTATAACTTACTTTTATGTTTATAGCACTCAGAAATTTCAGTTCCAAATAATGCCAATTGCATTTTCGCAAATCAACCATTATTATTATTATGTTGAAAATCCACTATTATTGTTTGTTTTTTTTTAAATGTGACAGCTGTCAAAAAGTTTGACGTAAATCATTAGACAAAAAAAATAGATAATTAAACAACTAGGCCATGTGTTTATCCATTGCGCTTTTGTTTATGCGACTCCTCTTCCCACATCTCTCGTTACGGTGACATGTGTCACGTCGTTGCGAATCTGCGGCTTCGTCAATGAATGTACATACATCTATTTATCGAGAGCGCCTGGAATTTGGGTCAAGTTTATTCCTTTATTTATTTACTTGCTCGATTCTTTCTTTATTTCGCTTCGATCATCATCTCTGCTCACTCTCGCGCTTAATTGTATGTGCTTACAATTACGTTAATTGCGCGGCATTGGCGCGGAGGAGATGTTTCCCCAAGTACGAAACAAAACAAACAAAAACAAAATCTGTTTCTCGAATACTTAATCTGCAAATGTTGTATAAACAAAATCAAGTTGATAAAATGACAGAAGACAGAATTTTCAGTAATTACAATATTGACAGAAGCGATTACACGCCCAAATTCTTTCGCCTTTTGTTTCGAACGATGACCGACAGCCGTCAATTATTGCCCCGGTAAACGGATGGAATTATGCAAATCGATTTCCATTATCGATCGGAACGACGATCAACGAACCAATATACATACATCGCGTGTTACCAACAAACAAAAAAATCTCAATTTTTTATTACATAGCAGGCCGAAACTCGTTCTCGCTTTTTTTTTATATTAATCCCAATTGCATCACATTATACACGCATGAATGTACACTGTTGTGTCTTTCTTTTTTTTTTCACCTGCCGGTTAAATTTCGGACCCGTTCAACATAATTACGTTACTTTTAATTATACTGGGTGAGGCACGTACACTCGCCTCCCAGTAATTACTTAAAATTCTGACTTAAACTCGGACGGATGAGGTGTGTGTGCATGTGAGTGTGTGTCCATCTCGCGGCTGCAATTAAAAGCAATAAAAAAACAAAACAAAAAACAATTGAAAAGTGACGCCTGCGCAACGCACCGCCTCTTTTTAATTGGCCGTCGGGGGCGGAGTCTCGACGTGACATAAGTCGAATCGAGTGAGCGAAAAAAATTGAGTCGCGTAACGCGGAGCACGTGAAACGCATATCGCAGAATTCGAATCGCGATAATACACAAAACAACAACAACAAAAAAAAAATATATATATAATAGAAATACATTTGTGGCGCTGTGCAATATCAGTTATTATTTACAGATAAAATAGTCGTTGACATATATCATCGAGTGTCAATTGGGTGCCTTAGTCAGATCGCAACGTCTGAAACGCGCGCGTACACCTCTCGATCATCCGTGTGTAGTAGTACTACTCTCATCACTCCTTCACTTGGGATTAATGTTTGCTCTATAAAGTTACTTAAGTAAGTTAGTTTTTGTTTGTGAATTTCTCAACTCGACTTGGCCCGAAGATGTGGGCTAATGGTTTCCGAAAACTATGGACCCTGCAATTAAAATTAATTACAAAACACAACAATATAATAATCTCAAGTGTTTGGAAAATTTATAAAGCGCGCGAGAGAGAGAGAGAGAGAAGCAAATTATCGACGTTAATGAGAACATCAAATAAAGGCGGTGTTTTCAATTTGTATTGCAATTGTTTTATCAAACATTCAATTGTTTCCATGTAAAGTTAAAGATGTTACGTTGATCGCGCATCTTCGTTTCGGCGATTAACCGTAATGTTTGCACGTTTCACTTTCTCGCCAATCGTCTGCGAAAAACATCACCGCGATGTTAAAGATCACAGAAGACGCGCGTCATTAGCGTTCTGTCCTAATTTGACAGCTATCAAAATTCGCAGGTTAATCGTACGTCAGTCGCGTCAATTGCGAGTTTTGTTTATTGACTTGCACCAACTGAATAACAAAGAAAAAAGAAAGAAAGAGAAAACAATTAACATAGCAATCTAAACGTTCGTTTGTTTTACACAAGCTTACAATTTTACTTCGAAGTGACATTTGACGTTTCTCTATAAAACTTGACACTTTTATGACATTCATCAACTATAATATAATTGACATCTTTCAATTGTTAGATTTATAAATCTCGACTCGATTGTTTTGACTTAATGATTTAAAATAAATAAGTTAATCCAAGATAGCTTATGTCAAGAAAAAAGACTATTTTAATGTTCATTCGTTGACGTATATTAGGGCAATTATTGTTATATATTGTACACAGCTCACTAGATACAATTAAACTTTAATTACATTTATCTAAATTTCGGAAACAACGGAAGGTTATGAAATCGAATTCGGAGATAAAATAATTAACAATCTCGAGATTTCCCATCTTCTTTTTTTTTAGTTTCTATTTTTAGATTTTCGATTAAAAAAAAAACGTATTTCGTGGGTTTAAAGATTTGCGGCACATCTCAATCGCTCGTCAACTAGATGTTATACAATTTTTGTTCGTTTATCGATCGGTTTAGTAATAGTAGTGGTAGTAGTTAATCTGATAGTGGTGATAATGCGATTGTAGTCGTTCCCATTATACGTTCGATCGTGCTTTTAAACCGATCAAACATGCACACTTAAGTAATCGATTGAATTGTGATCGGATTAATTGTGCAGAAGTAGAGACTGCAATCGTGTCCTCTGCGGATATGTAGGCGCAACAAGTAACGCACTTAGTTTGAATTGCACATAAAGTAACATGTGTAACGTGTAAATTTTCAGGCTGTGCCAACTTAAATGATATATGTATTCTGATTACTTGAATTCGCATCTCATAAAGCGACTTAAGTTATTGATTCATTTGTAATTTACGTTACTCGATATTATCAGCTTAAGAACGTCACGTTGCTGTCACTTTATGTTGAAATGTCAAAAAAAAATTGATTAATTGTATTAATTGCTGTTGTTTTGTTTCAGGTTTATTCGAGATCAAGGGAATCCCGCGTTAGTCGGCAAGGTTACCGCGACTTCGGGTCCCCAAAACAAAAACAAATATTTTGTCAAGCGCGAGAGCGAGAAAGGAATAGAGAGTAGTACACGTGTTTGGCATACGTCCAGGAAAAGATAGAAATAACCACCCACCGGGGAGAAGGAAAGAGTGAAGAACTGTATAGCAGATATCGAGAGGTAGAGAAGGAACGCGTCAGGAGTGGGTGCGGATTTACCTCGAGATTTCGAAAGAGCAAGAGAGAGATAGAAAGTTAAAAAAAGTGTGTGTGATTGTGTGTGTGCGAGCTCCTGTTTTTATCCCGACGTTCCGGAAAAACCGGGTGAATGCGCGTGTGCTTAGATACTCTTTGCTTCTCGTCGTGGCTAAGCCGTAACGACGAGGAAGCGGCGACAGCTGGGCTGGACGTGACCAGACCCAACATCATCACCGACCACAGTAACAGTGACAGCGGCGGCGGCGGTAACAGCAGCAACAATAACAACAACAATCATCGGATCATCGTTGGAGACAGCAGTAATCAGCAGCAGGAGAACGCGCGGCCTAAGACGGAGGTGGCGACGACCGTCACGATGGAGGAGGAGTGCGACGTGCACTCGCTCCACCAGCAGCTGCGGATCAAAGACGAGAAGATCCGCGAGCTCGAGGACATGCTGCGCATCAAGGACGACGAGATCAGCAACCTGCGATCGCACCTGGACAAATTCCAGAGCGTCTTCCCGCTGTACATGCTCGCGGCTGGCAGCTCCAAGCACCTAGGGCTCAACAACAACGTGGGCGGGATGCGACCACGCAAGCAGAGGGCCGGCATCTCCGCCGAGCCGCAGAGCGATCAAACGCTGCACGACCTCTCGCAGCTACCCACCTACGATAAGGAAGAAACGTAAGTCGATATCTTCTTCTTCTTCTTCGATGGCAGCGTTTCTCAGCTTACGTCAAATAAATTACAAACAATTGAAGTTCAATTGTAAACAATTGAAACAAGTTGAGAAACGCTGTTCACTATTACATGCACCAGCCTCTCGATATTTATTGTTATCAAGTAAAACGGATGATACACGTGGTCTGAGTGTATCGACGATCTAAGAATAAGTGCGTGTGTAGAATATACGAGACGGGCAGTGGAGGAAACCCATTATATTTTCGTCCTGTCAGCCGTTATTCCCAATGATTGCTCTGTTTTTTGGCAAAAATAATCGCGGGTGCATTGACACTCACAAGGAAAGAAAAGTTATCCACTCAGCCAAATTAGTTTAATAACTAAAAACAATAACAATTTGTACAAATCGATTGATTCTAATTATTACGACAACTTCCTCGTCGTGTTTCTACACTCGAAAGCTAATAGAAGTTTATTCTTGATGATATATTAACGGCGCGCCCGGAATTTTGTTTGGCGCTCATTTTATCGGTTTTTATAGTCGATTAATTAAGCGAGACGCGAGAGCGGAACACGGATTTTTATATCATGTTATTTTGTCACTCGATTCTCTCGTTTAATCGAAGTTGGACTTGATATTTATTTGTTTGTTTCTATACGTTTGTTTATCACTCCGCAACGTACATGTAATAACAAGCGTTGTTATAGTTGTCATAGTAACAACTTATTATTGTCCAAGTTAACCGTAGCAACCATTGTTTTTAATTAATTGAATGTTTAATTACGGTTTAAAATGTTATGGAACGAGAGAATACGTTCATTAACGAAAAGAACGTATAGGAAAGAGGTTTGCATTTTATTAATTACCTTATTGACCTTATTCAATTTCATTTGATATTTCAAATCGGGGTGAAAGGTGATTGGCCAACGCCAACGCGCACCTTCTCCACTTAAGCGTGTTTCAATTTTTTTTTTTCTTCAATTTTTTTTTAATTCTTCGTATCCATCTCTCTTTGAAGATTACCGATTGATTGTCGCTGCAATGTTTGAAACCGGACTGCGCGAGGTATTTGCACGTGCGTAATTGAAGTACAATGTATTAAGAGTATTGGTTTTTTTTTTTTGGATCGAAGCAATCACGATAATCGTTTTCTAATCGACCCAAGTCTCTTGTCAAGGTCCGCGAGAACAAATACATGCGATGTAAATGTGCGGCGGCTGTTTATAAAAATAGAACGGTGATATAACAACGACTGAACGAACGATTTGCCTCCACCTCCACGTTTATTCATTATTATTGTTCGTGTCATTGAATCACATGAATCACATTCGAAATTTATGATCTCTCGCAGTCTCTCTTCATTAACCCACCGCCACCACCAATTATCGCTATTGCTTTGCTCTCGAATCAAAAACATAATTGCCAAACGGATTTTCCGAGAGACGCGCGCTGAATAAATGCATTTCGCTGTGCGTCGATCGCATTCCATATCC